CCATTTGAACTAGAGCTTGAAAAGAAAGTAGCAATTTACCAGGCATTTAAAGGAGATGAGGATAGCATTTTAGGCAGCTATGAAAGAGTATTTCCTACTCAGGGAATGATAAACAAATTGGTGTGAGTAGTATATGAGCTTTGGCCAGTATGTATATGTGTGGGGGTGGGGAAAGAAGGGCCCTAAGGTGAACAGAAAACAGATGAGAGCTGGGAAGGTGGGCAGGGACCGACCTTATATGCCATGCTAAGGAATCTTTATAATGTCCTATAGACCAGTGGTTTTCAAACAACTATAGTGATCTCCTGGTTTCAGTGAAACCTTGCTTGGAAGCAAAAATAAATACCGAAAAAAGCAAAATTTCTTTTATCGGGACAGATATATGTGGGTAGAGGGTCCCAGAATCTCTATTCTCTTTCTCTCTTTTCCCTCTTAGCTGATCTTGAGGGGAATTTTGGTAAGCACAGTTTGCAAACCTCATAGGTGGACCGTGGAGAGCCACCCCAAATTTGAAAGCAGAGGAGTGAATAACATGATGAGATCCGTGATGAGATAAGATGTTAAGGAGGATTGACCAAAGAATAAAAAGGCTTGAGTAAGGAAAACCAATTAGGAGGCTATTATAACTGGCTGAGAGAAGCCTGACCTTAAACAAAGACAATGGGGATAGACAGAAGTGGATGGGAAAGACATCTCTAAGGATGGCATTAACAGAACCTGGTAGACCATTACAGTAAGGGTGGGGAAGGGGAACTCAAAGATGATTCTATGGTTTCTTATGGTAGAAGCAACCAACTACTGTATGGGGAATCTTTAGTCTAATTGCTAATAGCCAGCTTATTTTCTTTGAGTTTTCAGTAACTCACATAAAACCAACGTGTGATCACTCATGCCTAGATCTGTTTCCTCAGTCTTTCTTCATCTAAGACTTGACTTTGCTAATAAAACCCTTTTTTTGCTGTCATTGTTATATTGGTTACAACTGTATTTGCCTCTCATTAGCAGTGCAGTGGATAGCAATCTTCTTTTTTACTAAGATAGTCCCAAGCTTATAAACAAGATGTATCCAAAAGTTCATTTTTAAGTTAATTATTTGAAACTCAGAGTGCATTTTCCCATAGAAGAGGCTTTCTACACATAGTGATTAGGTTCCCAGGCCAGTCCACAAAGGCCAGTTTAGCCCATAATATAATGGAAAGTATGGATTTTTGCAATGGAAATTAGTTGGAAATAATTCTGTTGCAATTAAAAAGAAAACAATAGTTGCAAAAGAAATAGTCTGGGTTTTTGTTTCCCTCAAAGCAGCAGTCCCCAACCTTTTTGGCACCAGGGACTGGTTTCATGGAAGACAATTTTTCCACAGACTGGGGTCGGCACCCACCATTCACCTCCTGCTGTGCGGCCTGGTTCCTAATAGGCCATGGACCAGTACCAGTCTGTAGCCCGAGGGTTGGGGACTGCAGCCTCAAAGGGTAGGGCTTGATGAAAAGCAGGTTTAATCCTATGAAGACAAAGAGAAATTTTCTTTTAGTTAGGATTTTAGTCAGGATCCTTTAAGATGAGGATTTTTGTGTAAATTGGACACCATGGCTTTTTAAATTTATTTTTGAAATAATGTTTTGGAGGGTTTTTAAAATAATAAAAGCAACCATGTTCATTGTAGAAAATTTGGAAAATTGAAAAATATTTTTTAAAAATTAAGTCACCAATAATCCCACCACCCAGACAGAACCACTATTAACACATTGGTGTGTTTCAACCTTTTACTTAGTGCATGTATTTTTTTAAATCAGTCCAACAATAGTAATTATAGTGCATCTTACGTGATGAACTATTATGCAGCCCTTAAAATGATATTCATGAAGAATTTTTTAAACATCAAAAAATATTTGTGATACAGTATTGCATAAAAGGCAACCTTGCATTTGATACCTAGTTTGGGGGTGACAGAGTGTAAACAGATCAATACTAATCAACAAGGGCAGGAGTATAGGCTGTTAGGCTACCAACCAAGACCCCCTATCATCAGTCCCACCCCCTACCAAAAACCAGTCTTTTGTAGAAGTTCTGAAGCAGACATATGTGTTCTTTCAAGTATTGTAGAGGTTCGTAGCACTGGCTCCTTGTGACTTCTAGTTTCCTTTCAAATTACAGGGCTTTCCTCTCCCTTGATGCACTGTATCGGTAGCACTACTCAGGCTTAACAACTACGATTCAGGTCATTTCTTTGATTCATAAATGGAATGGAAAAAGGGGCATGCATTTCCTGATGTAATCAGGCATGGATTGAAGAGAGATGAGAAAGACCTGGGTAGAGAAGATCTGTATGTATTTGTAACGAAGAAGATTATATGCAGAAGAATATATTGAGCTAAGAATAGTGGAAGAAAAGTGAGATAAGGAAACAGTATAGCATGCATACAGATCTGGGGAGAGTGGAAAAGACTTAGGGAAAGGGAGAAAAGAGGTGTGTTTGTTTAGGACTGGGCTTGGCTACAGAGCAGAAAAAAGCCAGCAAAGGACGGTGAGCCTGGGGGAGTTACAGCCAGCTGAAATAAGAGAGTTCTTAGACGAGGCAGCAAATGTAATTTGCAGCAACTGATTTTCTTTTGTTAAGGGAACAAAGATGGTTTGTGAGGACAGGTGTTTCAAGCACTAATCATCCAGGAACCAAAACACTCTGTTTGAACTTAATTTAATGTATCTGCTATGATTGTGCACTATTTGATTTTAACCCAGTGATTTCCTAAAAGCAGTTTTTGTGTCCCTTTTCCATCCTATTTTATTTGCCTCTGACATATTTTGGCATGGAAGTCCTAATAGCTGCCACCTGCATTTGCTGTTCATTGTGGAAGGAAGTGAAAGTTACAAAGGAACGAGAGGTCGGGGGAGAGAAAGGTGTCCATTTGGAGGGGGGTGTATTAAATCTTACATCTTGGTTTTTCAATGTACATTACTAGGGGAAAGAACCCAAAGTTTCATTACACTCTATAGAAGCATATGGCATTGTAATTCTCACACATCTCAGCAAGGGAATCTCTTTCTATGGAATTCTGTGTCTCTTACATTTGGTGTACATGCAATGCAGAGATTCTGAATTATTAAGTACGGGGTGGGCTACAGTTCCTGAGCCAGTGGTTCTCAATGTTGGCTGTAAATTGGAATCACCTGGAGAGCTTAAAAATACTGGTGCCTGGGTTCTGTTCCCAGAGATTTTTACTTAATTGCTCTGCAAGTGAGAACTGGGCATGGGGATTTAAAACATCTCCCCAGGTGATTCTGATGTGCAGACAAGTCTGGGAACCTCCAGTTTAGCCCATTGCTTAATTACCTAGGTAGATTAAACCAATTGTTCTCAAAGTGTGGTCCAGCATCAACAGAGCACTTAGAATGCAAATTTTTGAGCCTCTGCTCGGATTTACTGAATCAGAAACTCTAGGGGAAGCTCGGGAAGGAACCTGCATTTTAACAAACCCTCTAGGTGATTCTGGCGCATGCTGTAGGTTGACAGCTACTAGATTAAAGAGACTTTCGTGACCCTTTCCAAAGTACACCTCTGGCGGGTTGTGGGGGGGTTGCTGGAAAGGAGAAGGGATGCTCTTACCAGCTGATGAAAACTGACCTGGGAAAGGACTTTGACAGAAATACTTGTAATAATAATATTAGAAGCTATGGTAAGGAAAGGAAAAAGGGGATGATGATTTGCTGCAAAGCCCAAGCAAGTACAGGAGGGAGCATGTCTTCATAAGAGTTAAGGGGTTGGTTACATGGGCAGACATAACGCTAGTGGCAGTGCCTGCAGGCAAACTTCTACTAATTCATTAAGACCCTTTTCAAACGCCAAACTCCTCTGTGAAGCTTCCTCTGAGCTCTGGTGTAAATTGCTTCATCCTTGTATTTACTTAGCACTTTCTACATTCCTCTATTAGCTCTTAACTCACTGTAAGTCTTTCTCCTTCACTAAATTGTGTGGTCTTTAAAAGCAAGGTCACTCACTATCTTATTCATCCTTGGATCTCTAATACAATACCTGGTACATAGTGTAGTAAGTGCTCTAGAATTATTTGCTTAGGGGAGGCATCAGAAATGGCCAGCTTTATTGGCTATCAGGAACCTTCAAAAGATGGGTTTACCTTTGTAAATTAATCATGGTCCTGGGACCTACTCTCTGACTTGAAGGCTAGGGACCTTGACTCTGTCAGCGCACCATGAGTTGACATTTCTTAGTGGTAAACTTACATACCACAAAGATCTCAGAGATGTATTAATATACGCAATTATTAACAACTTATTATTTTACCATAGTAATTGTCAGGTGCCAGGACTACTACTACTACTGTCAACTTTTCTCATATTTCCTCTCCTTGTAGGTAGACCATCATGGGAAATCTAATTAAATTCAATAGGGATACAGCTGGCACAGGACAAAAGTATTTGAGTCTTTGGGCCCCACAGGTTGCCTCTCATCCAGGCACTGCCATCTTCTAGTTCTTTGTGCTCTCTAATTCCATAATCTACTCTCTTCATCTTACATCTTCTCACAAATATTCTTTGAATAAGATAAGCACTTAGTAAATTACAATCACCTTTCCATTGTGCCTTTCCGAGGTTATACTCAGGTCACCATGATTAGATGTATGTGTGTCCCCCAGTTCTTTAGAGTAACAGATTTGCAGGCAATCCTTTGGTTTAATTCCCTAGGTGCTTAATTATGCTTTCATTATATATGGATTTTTACTGGCTTAACTCTCAGAGGACAACCTTATAACCTTATTTCAAAGTCTTTTGGATGTGGGACACCTTACTGTCACCTCAGTTACTGCCAAGATGAATCATTTATAAATGTTATAGAAACTTTGAAACATATGTGAATGTCATTCTCTAAAATGGAATTTTTAAGACCCAGAATGTAAACCAGAAGAAACTGAATTTGTGCCTTTTGTGCCAACCCATGATCCTAATATGTACGTGCTGAATAGATTTTTCTAATTTTTTTATAGGCATTATATCTGATAGCCACTAATGGAACCCCAGAGCTCCAGAATCCTGAGAGACTGTCGGCTGTATTCCGTGACTTTTTAAATCGCTGTCTTGAGATGGATGTGGATAGGCGAGGATCTGCCAAGGAGCTTTTGCAGGTGAAAATAAAATAGGATGATTACAAAGAGAGTCATTATATTGAACTTTTCCATCTCAGTGTGTGACAGTAAGAAAACTCTGTCAAGAAATGTCTAGTTAGAGTTAGGCTATTACCATTTGATTTTAGACCACAGGGACATAACTGTAGGCATGCATCTAATACATGATTGATAGACATGTCGCCCTTCTTCTGAGAAGTTGGCAGTTAAATCTATAAATCTCTTTTGTTCTTCTGGAGTCTTATTTTTCAAGGAAAAACAACTAATGTGACCCTTTGGTGTTGCTGTTTTGTTCTAAACTTTGCTTGTGCCTCTGGATGTTGTATGCAGGTGCTCTTGGCCAGAGGTAATTCTCTATATAACTATACAGTTATTTCCATGGCATTTGGTACTCTTATGCTTTACTGGTCAAAGCCCCTTTGTTTGTGATGCCAAATGGTAGGCACTTGCTTGCCTGGGTGAGTACCATCCGGTGGTGAATGCCTCTGTAACCATTTGTCCTTTTCATGGCTCTCAGGGATTAGTATATATGGTGAGAAATAGTACTTATTATGTACCACATTCATTGCATAAATTATCTCATTTAATTCTTACAATAACCCTATAGTGTAGGTGTTATCATCCCATTTTACAGATGTGGGAATTGAGGCTCACACAGCTCTTGAGTGGCAGAGCTAGGATTTGAGCCCTGGATTGTCTGACTCTCCACCACACATCACACACAAATTAATTTAGATAAAAAGATCTATTGATTTGATAAAGCAGCACATGCCCAGGATTAATAGGTTCACAGATAGGACTGTTCCTCAGGGACATATATCAAGATCGGTAATATCTAAGAACAATGACTGCTAGTTCTCTCTGTGACTTTGAACACATAAGCCAATTAAACAAAAGGTTCAACACATGGTTCTGCAGAGTATTAGCCACAAATTCAATCTGTTCTAGCCCATCCCCCTCAAAGACAAATCTGTTCCTGTTACATCTGAACTCCCTCCAGAGACAGAGAGCCACACCCAGACAAAAAAAAATATCCCATCTCAACTCATATCACACCGGTGGTAAACCTATTTGAAGGAATTAAGAGACTACACCTTCTCTTCTCTGCTACCTGTGAGCATTTCACAGGTTGTCATGGGGCCCTGAAATGTCAAATCTGGAATGGCCCTTTGTTAATCCTCTAGTTTATCCAGCCTCAAATTACAGATGAAAAACCTGAACTTTTGAGTCCTTTACTTCCACATCTTTTCACCTCTGCAACCACCCCACGTACACATCCTGATACATTCCTGATATGCTTTCTTCTAAGCATGAGTGAAGATATAGGTTCTGTTAATGTACCTATACAGGTAAGCAGATCATTGAATCAATTACCTAATTCATTCCCCAGCAATACTTTTATATGAACCAGTCAGATAACTGATACAAAACTATATTTTAAGTCTAAATTGAATAGTTTGTTTGTTGCATCTTTTCATTTTATATATGTAAGCAATAACCTGTATATCTCCTTAAGTCCATATAACTCTATTCTCTGACTCTAGCCTATCATTGCCATCTTAGAGGTTAGAAAGGAGAGAGATGCACAGTATCCTCGTCACTGGAAGGCTGGAGAAAAGACACAGGTCTTGTATATTTGTGTGCCTTTCTGTATGACCTAAGTCAGTTCTCTGTCCATCAGTTGATATTTATTGAGCAACTTCAGTTTGCAAAGCGTAAGTGCAGTAGGTGATACAAACCTGTTAGGTGCATGATTCCTACTCTTAGGAAGGTCACAATCTCCTTGGGTACATGAAAAGATAATGCAAGGCTGTTTAGAGACTCATTCAAACCAAGTGTCTGTTCAAATAGTAAATGATATGATTGATTAGAGAAACACCTTTCCAGGCTAGGGCGATCAGAAAATATCTACAAACAGGAAAGAGGTCTACTGGGCCTTGAGGGACAGATCAGTTTAGATAGGTTGAAGAAAAGAGGGGAAGGGATTTCAGATGGAAGTGTTATGGTATAACCACAGGCATGTAGTCAAGGTTTAAGAGAACAGAACATAGAAAGTGTAGCTGAAGTAAAGAAGCTACAGGAAATCAGACTATGGAGCACCTTGAACAACCGGCTAAAGAGTTGGGGCTGTAGGTAGTGGGGAAATGCTGAAGATATCTGAGGGACAAACATGATGAAAACTTTGTTTAGGAAGATTCATCTGGTAGTATGCAATAAGGATTAGCAACAGGAAAAAATGGAAGCAGGGAGACCAAGGGGGAGTTATTATCATTTGGAAGTAAATTGATTAGGCCTGAACCAGGAAAAGCAAGAGATGATTATAAGAGATATTGAAAAGAAAGAACTTGGTAGCTGATTGCATGTAGAACACAAGGGAAAGGAAGACAAAAGTGACTTTGGTGTATCAAACCAATGGTAGCATTCAACGAAAGGACAAGTGATAGAAGAGAATACAATGGCTAACATTTCTTGACCCTGTGTAGCTAACAGGGGACTCTCACTTACCTCATTTAACCATTATAATAAACAGAGGCAAGGATCGAACCTAAGTGCTCTTCCCAGAGCCCTTGTAGCTTACATCACACAAGAGTCCTCTGTTTGGGGGACTTTAACATAACTTTTTAAATGTTGAATTGAAGGTGACAGAACAGTCCAGAGGAAATGTCCAGCAGGCAATTGCAGAACTAGGACCAGAGCTCAGGAACGGGATCAGGTCATACACTATGGATTTGGGAGGCATCCCCATAAAGCAGATGATAGTTGAAACGTGAAAGGAAATGAGATCTGTAAGAAATTAAATTAGAAAAGGAAGATGATGAGAGCCAAGTTCTGATATGTAGGAGGTAGAAGGAGGAAGTGAAACCAGGGAAGAAGATGGAGCAGGAGTAATCATATGTGTGTGGAAGAGACCCAAAACAGTAGAATGTCACAGGCCCCGAAAGAGGAGAACATTTCAAAGAAGGAAGGGATATTCACTTGAGTTAAGTACTGCAAAGAAGCCAAAACAGAGATGGCAGAGGCACAGCTATTGGGTTTAGCAGGTAGGAAGCCATTGGTTTCAGGACAAAGTTCTTTAGTGCTCAACTGAAGATACTTTTCCAAGCATGAGGGCTGCTCCAGGCAAATTCATCAGTTTCAGAGAATCAGAAAATCAGACCGTTGCAAACACAGTGAGATTTTACAAGATCCCTATTCAGTTTCTAGATTCGCCAGTCAGCTTCCAGAGGATTTCATGACACTGGATGAAAGACAAAAACATACAAAGGACAAAAGCTCACACCATTGTTTAAGTGTGTGTTCAAAATATATTTTAATAAAAAAGGGCTGCTTGAAAATGTACACTAATATACTTGGAGAAAAGAATTCCAGTAATTTCTCTTTTTTTTTCCCTTCCTCTTGCAGCATCCATTTTTAAAATTAGCTAAGCCTCTCTCCAGCCTGACTCCTCTGATTATCGCT